GAGTGCCAGCTAGTCGCTTGTAAACGGTTGTCAAACGTAGCAATGATTTGGCTGTCCAAAAAGTTACTTTATCTGTGCAAGGTAGTCATAAATGACAAGCTAGAGACGCAAAAGTGACTAACTCAGACAGTAAGTCGCGAAGTTACCCGTGCAAAATTGAAAAGTAACTAGTTCAAAATGCGCACCCATTGACGGCTCACGGAACTCGAAGCAACTTTTCCCTCATTTTCGGAAATTATTAAGAACTAACCTGGCAAGTTTAATGGCAATGCTGCAATTGCTATCAGTAGATAGTGATGCGAGAAGAAGTGGGAATGTGATGCGGAGGATGTGGGGCTCAGCTATGATTATAATAGTCTACGTGCCACTAATTGTACCACACCCAAGTTAGGGTAATTCCAAATTACAGTGGAGGCCTTCAGAAAATGACGCAAAACGCAAAAGTTCAGCTCGCAAAACCAGTAGCAAATTCAAGGGTTAGGTAACGCAAAATCAATCGCAATTTGCCGAGACGGATTTTGGGTCTCTGCAAATTGCGACGAGGTAAACACAGTTAGTGCCCGGGCACAGAGCCGCAAAACCAACCATACAGGACTGGATAGCATGAGCCGCTGCCAGACTCTACATAACGGCAAACAACACAATTCCATCCGCTACAATGGCACGAGGAAAAGGACCACGCCTGAAACCCTCTACATGCTTGGGCTGGTGGAGAAGATCCTGCCGTTTGGCTCGAACCTGTGGAATGCAGTAGAGCTACAGTACTACACTAAACTACGCGATGGCTTCCCTGTATGCGATGCGGAGTCCATCAAACGCAAGTTCTACGCACTCAAGAATACGCGCAAGCCGTCGGGAGATCCGGCGTGCCCGGCCGACGTTGCTCAAGCCAAACGTGTATATCGTCGGATCGAAGGGAACTGTGGCGTAATAGTGTTGGACGATGCTGCCCCGTCTGTCGAGTCTTCGGCTAGAAGTTCCGCCCCATCAAACAGTGCTTCGCAGTATGAGGCAACATCTAATACTGAAGAAGCACAAGCGCTGCAAGTGCAGAGCCAGCCTGCGTCTGGCAGATTGTCATCCACTGTCAGTGGCGAAGTTAACAAGGTACAGTATCACAGTGCATACATATTGCAAAGTATCACACTAAAAATCAAATGTAAATATGATATATTGACAGAGATTGCTTGACGTGCCTATTACCGAGATATTTTGCACCGGAAAGACAGCGGAAGAGCTGGAGCAGCTAGGAAAGGAACTGCATACTGTATCTAAGGATCTACTGCCAGAATCGGCTAAGAAACGACGCAGGATTGATCGCCTGCTTGAAAACCTAGAGTCAGACGACAGCGCGGATTGGTGCACCGCTATTATTGCCATGGAGGAGCGTGCCGCCGCTCGAGAGATGGATTATCGCCGAGAGCTCGACGCACAACTTGTCGGGGATTTCGGAACAGCACTGGGTGAAATATGTGTATCAAGATCATTTCAAATTGCTGACTTACGGAGAGACCACATCAAATTTAGCATAACAATCCAACAACTGGATCGGGAACGCATGTCGAATCGCCAAGCCTCTCGATACTTTTGGATTGTACTTTCGAAAATTGAGTGAACTTGTGTCATCAAAGAGGCAACTGGCTGCTGCTTGGTTGGGCAAGAGCCCATCCACTAGGTTGGTACCGAAGCTCGCAAAAAAGAGAGAAGATCCCATCAAGGCTGCTGAATCATGCCAAATTACTCTGTGTTTAGCCGGTGCGTACGACGTACTATATTTTGGTCCTACAGCGGAAGACGGATACATACACCTTTGGCGTTTAGTGGATCTACCTGGAGCGGAATGTACATGAGAAATTGGCAGAACATAGACTTTCCATGCAGTAGCAGCAGCTATAAAGGACGGATGAGACTTGGATACTCTGTACAACGCTGAGAAAATGTCCATCGGGTATTTCAAGGAAACGTACAACGTTTCCTTTAAACCGTGGCCAGCTGACGTCATTTTGGAGAAAGATACGGGACTCTTAGTTCCGGCGATACAAGAGAACCCACGTGAGAACGGCAAACGTGGCTAAAACCTGGCCCGAAGCCAAAGCACAAGAGAAAGAAACGAAAGGAGCCCAATAAGGGTGAAGCGTTCAGATAGTTACATTAAAGACACCATCAATACACAGTTTTTTTACGCAGTAGTATTTTTTCTTGTCATGTCGATACTGCACAAGTAATGACATTTTTTATTTGTAGATATTTTATTCTAATGTCATTTTAAGCTAATGAGGGCAAGGAGCCGAAAAAGTGTAGTACGGGTCAATTGCTTCAATAATGAGGTCTTTAATAAGCTATATTTGGTCTAAATCTAAGCTACAAAAGACATGCTACCCGTGTTGCTGTCTAAAAGCATCCAACCAAAAATGGACATTGAATGATGGTGGATATCAATTGTACTGAATGATATTCTGATAGTACTTCCAAATGCGTTTTAGTACTTCTATCATACTATACTGGATAACGTTCTAGCGAAGATCTACTACCTGCGTCCAGTCCAACCGAGCCAGACCCTTCGCGGTGGCCAAGTTGTCTCCAAAACAAACCCACGTGGGTTCTTTCATGGCCTCGTCGTCCAAATCGTCATCTTTAGAGTCGTCACAGTCAAAATCCCACATTCCCACATTGTCTAATTTTTTTTTAATGGAATCAACCTTGCTGTAGTATCGGTTTGCTTCTTTTGGCTTTGCCTTTTGACGAGCTACGGCCTTGGGACCGCATCCGCGTAGACGGTTTAAATGGTTCTTTAGCTTAGTCGGCGAGCTGAAGGTGACCTTGCAGGATGGGCAGGTTCGGGGCAGGCGCTTTTTGGTCGGCCCAGTTTCTCTTTCGAGAGGTTACGGAGTACAGGCCATGGCGTGGATAAAATGGAAGTGAGAAATTAGTTGTGCAAGAGCATGAAGATTCACCAAACGTATTTGGGGGTTGAGCGTCGCTGTATATTACTATTTTGTTACTACCCATGAGTAACACTACTAACGCTTGGGACAACTACTGATCAGTACTTTACACGCATCAAATCAAATCACCAGATCTCAGTACTAACTACTGACATATGGAAATTGCTCTAACGGAACACCAGGGGTGCGGGTGTCTGCGCCAGAAGGTAGGAGGGGTCAATTCACCAGAGAAGTCGGATGCGACAACCACGAAAAAGGTATTATACCACCAGCACAACGCTTAATCTCACATTCCGTGCAAAAGAAGTTGATCGCTTATCTACCGCGTGCACACATTACATCGGTGTTACGGCTGACATATTTTGCACAAACTATAATACTGAAAGCTATCGGAAGTGAATTGAAATCCGAGGTTTGTGGTGATCTGAAATGTGGTCCTAAACAGTTTCTTCATCTATAGTATTACCAATACAGATAACATCGCTGTAGGTTGCA